TGGTGTTTTTGTTCCACAAACGCCAATATTCCTTTAATTAACCACCATGGCTTTATGTGGATCAAAAACAACAGGAAACAATAAATTAATAAAAAAAAAATAATCAGATCAGCCCAGTGAGATAGCTCTTTATTTGTATATCTCACATTATTCTTGGCTCAGTCTCCAGCTCAGATATATTTCTAAAAGTGGTAAATCTTCAAACTCTGCCACACAGATTGTTCCAGACATTAATGACGCAGTAAACGCACAGTCCTGCACTTTCTGACACTCTATCTACTACAGTTGGTTCTTGAACAATCAGCTGCCATATGGTATGGCTGCTGGCAGTCATGTGCTTCTGCCTGACAGGGTGGAGCAAGTGCAAGCTCATGCTGAGCATATAGATGAGAGGTAAGCTCAAGAAGCCTCTTTGATACATGGCCCCAGGTAGGTCCTGAGGAACAGGGAGTAGCCAGAGATAACCTATGCCATTTTTCTTTTGGCTACTATTGTATTTGTTACTGTTTAAAAAATGCAAGACGCTGAATGCTCCTTCTGCTTACACTGGCTGAGAAGAGCAAAAGCTCCGGCTTTGGGAGATGGAGGATGGAAGAGGCGAGGAGGTATATGGCTCCAGTACATGTTTCTAATCTCTCCAGAGCCTGTGGAAGGCATCACAGGCATCTTATTAAGGTAGGGCAGGAAGATGTTGATGGGTAAAAGGTTGTTCCTCTTCTAACCAGGTAGATTTCCAACAGGAAATCCACACAGAAGTTAATGCTTTTCCAAGCAGTTTTAACTCCCCTTCAATACCGTTAGCCCCATCCCAGGAAGTAGAGATGCATGCAGGGGTTTGGTTTTTTTTGTGCCTTTTGCTTTTTACACGCACAAACAAAACCTTATTATGAAAGAACCACACAGGCACACTGAGATCCTAATAACCATATTTACTAATTATATACAACGTGCAAGGCCTGGCTACATATATACATTGGCTTCTCAGGCAAGGTTCGATGGCATCTGAAACATAGAAGACAGTGAGGGTCAAAGCTAATTAAAGGAATACTGCCCAATTCCTATACATTAAAGGAAGGCAGCATGATTCCCAGGGACCAGGAGTTGCCTTGGAAATGCCACAGGCTTGTACCCAGGGAATTGGCTCCCGGAACTACTATCTTTCCAGTTCATGGGGCTATAGCCTGTTTTCCTGCAGTGCTCTAGGTTCTGCTGCATCACTAACCACAAATGAGTTCAGAAACCACTTTAGAGGTGAGAGAGAAGGGAATACCATGAAGTGAACTATGCAGCATTTCTAGCTAATGTTTCCTCCTCCCATGGGTTTTCCAACAAGAGGGAATGATTAGGAGCTAGTAATCAAAATAAGTTAAATTAGCACAGTAAAATGCCCCCATCCAGCCCACTGTATTCTTCTGACTCTTCCTGGCAACCAGACCATTTGACTCCAACATACAAAAAGCAAAGAGAAAGGCTAGGAGTCAGAAGGTCTTGCAAGGACCTAGCTCAGTCTAAAATGTATTTGGTAAAAATTAAAGGAAATGTTTAGAAAAGGTGCTAAGTTTTAGATATTAACATAGTTAATGTTCAAGTGTCTGTGCAGCAGGATAGGTTATAGTCTATGAAGTCTGAGTAGGTTTTTTGTGGTTGCCTGCAATTTAACTTTCGATTGTGTGCGCGCGCATGGGCATTCTGCTATAAATTCTACAACCATTTAGGTTTTTGTTTTATTCACAAGACAACACATTGTGGAATCTAAATTTGTAATAAGGTCCTCCCCTTGGAAATTTGGCATAGCTGACAGTAATAAATCATTCAGCCATTCACCTCATAAGTCCTCTGGAGCGTCATGTATCTTCAAATAGCAATGTGTGTACATAACACTGAAAATATAATGAAGCTATAACACAAACAAATCCCTGAGGAGATGTTCTACATGAAAATTTACAAAAGAAGTGCTAAGATAGTGCTAAAGGTAGCAATAAAATAGCCTTCAAGGAAAGGAATGTCACTTGATAACTTAAAAATAACCTCTAGTGAACGGCATTATTACAGCAGGTGAGAAAGTTGGAGAATCATTTTGTTATAGTTTTTCATGTGTTATTTGCATATATCAAGAAAACTGTAAAACTGAGACAAACAAAACTCTTGACTATGCCCATATAACTGCCATTTCCTCAGATGGTGTTGCATGCATGCACCCAAAGTTAGAAAGATTTTTTTTGTCTAAAAGATTTAAGTTATGATAAAACAAGTCAGGCCAAGATCAAGTTTGAAATTTAGCTATGGGCCTGAACCTTCTGATATTCAAGTCTTATTCAGTGCAAAGTGAAGAGTTGTTACTCGAAATAAGATAGTGGCACAGAATACAGCTTAATTCCTTTCTGGAGCTGCCCCCAACAGTTATTATGCCTCCAAACTGAAGAAAGGACTAGGATGATTTCTCTGCCTGTCAAGAGTTGGCCATCTTCTCTGGATATTGATAAAGCTGGGGTGTCAAACTCATTTGGCAGCAAGAACCAAACTCCATTTTTGATTATGGTCCATGGGCGGGGGTATACATTTAAAACTACACACTACCTTCAGCAAGATAGCAATGGGAGGTTTACACAAAGATCCAGGGTAAAATATGGACTTTATGTACTATATAAACTATTATTTGTTTGTTGAGTAACTTATTGTCACATTCAATTTCTCTGGGAAAATCTGCTCCCTTGTAGAACTGCTACAATCTTGTCCATTATTTCTCTTTCTTTCCCATCCTATTTTTCTGTTCTCTCCCTATTTCCACCTCTCTGTGGGCTTAACTCCCACCTCCTCTCCCATTCCATTCACTAAAATGATCATCAATAAAGCAGTTCATGTTGACAATATAGCATTATCATTGGACTTTAAAGTTGACACTCCAGTGAGATTAATATAGACAGGGGAGTTAACAAATCTAAGTAATTGTTTCAGGCTGTCTACAGACTCAAAGACATTTCAGCACTAGTAACATTTGGAAGATTACTTTTTATTTTTAATGACAAGTTAGATTCTACACAATCTGAATACATCAAATGGGCTGAATCTGGCTCACAAGCTGTATGTCCTAAAGCATTTTTGCCCAGGATTTACATATCCATCGAGCTCATAAAAATACTCAAAAGTTCATTTTTTAAAAATGGAATTGAATCAATTGCACTGTCTTTTTCCCCCCAAAACATTTGCCTTGTGGGAGGAAAATACCTCCATGCCCCGAACTTGGTTCCAAATCCTGTTTCAAACTGGACAAGATGAATACTCTTCTACACTACCAATATACTTCCCAGGGAAAAAAAAGTAGTGTGTATCACATAAATGTGTTTACCAAATGGTGTTACCTCTCTACTTATTTTATAGATATGATGGGAAAATGATATTATTTAAAAGGAAAAAGAAAATGATAGCTTTCCCAGTCCTTCACTCCTATCTACAGAGTACATTCCCTGAGATACAGGATTTATCAAAGTGTACACTTTTTGTTAGAGCCCTTTTTAAAAAATATTGACAGCACATCACTGACGATGAATGATCTGTTTCAGGAAGAGGGAGTACTCTGTGAAAAATACATTTTTAATGCCTTTTTCACCCGATCATCCTAAAAAGAATCTTTTCCCCAAAACTTTTCATGCATATGAGTGCAGGTGAATGAATAGGAGAGAATAAACACACTCCTTACTACGGATTGCATTAAAAAAAAAATTAAGTAACTGTGAGCCTGGCCAGAAGAAAATTGTCCTTTTGGAAGGGAACACCAGTTAGAGTAGGACTGAAATTGGATTCATTACTAAGCACTCATGAGTCACACAATCAGAATGTTCAATGTGCTGAACATTCCCTTCCTTTAGAAGGCAAATCCCACCTCAGGGGATAAACAACTGGGGTTTTTTTTGTTTTTTTGTTAAACCATTCAACTTTTATTTTTGGGTACAGAGGCAATCAGGAATGTGCCTTTAGCAAATTTTAAAAACAATTTAGAAAGTCATAAACCATGTTTGTAGGGACCCGTGGTATTTGCATACACACACAATACCTAGCATGATGATATTATGGGTTAGCTTTCACATTCCTGACTTTCTTTTCTAAAAAATCTCACTAAAACTTGACTTTTAAGATATTAAGGAAAAAGCCTGTGATGAGAGTCAGATTCAGTAAACCAAATGCCATGCTTGTCCTTTTAAACATCACTTACTACATTTGGATCATGTTTGTAATTACATTTCTGCAGCAGCATAATGTTAATTGAGATGTGCCATCTCCCATCTCTGGGGTGTTCATGTTAACAACAGGATTCCTGCCAACCTCCCACAATGATGACAGCATTTATAGACAAAATTACACACAATACAATACAGTTGGAACTATCATGCAGCTGAATAATACAAGAAAAAACAGCCTTGGTCTAATGATACAGTCCATTTCTGAATTATGAGGCAAAGTTACTATCATGCTATTTCTCATAAACTCAGACATCAGAGATGATGGAGATCAGTTCTCCATCTAGTTCACAACTGCCCTTGGCAGCACCATTTACACACTGATCTCTCTAAAAGGAAATTTTAATCTTTGGCTTGGAAAATAAACAGGAGTAGTATATATAGATGTGCAGCCTATATCTGAACTGCACATCCCATAATACAGTAGGTTCTCTTCTCAAATATATGTTACATTATTTTTATAACCATCTCATCATAGCAGACTGATGTGAATATCTGCTCCTTGTTAAACTGTAATTATGACTGCAAACAGAGATGCTGGTGCTTGAGCTCTAGCGGTATAACTCTACATGGGGCATTTCATGACAAAAACTTCTGCCATGAATGCTGAAGCGAAAACACATATATATATGATAATATCAAAAGCAAACCTCAGCTTCCAGTACCTGTTCAGGAAAACCTGAACAACCTGACAGAAATTAGAGACAAACTGGTGCCTCTCCACAAGGTTCAAGTATAACAGATATGCACTGAAGCAGTACTTACAACTAGAGAATATCAACGGGCAAGAATGTTCATCCATTGGGAAATTATGTAGCTGCAGCTGGCATTCTGCATTGATGGTGAGTCTGTGGAAAAACCAGGTAATTGTCACTATAAATCAGCACAACGAAAAGTTAAAGGAACATGGTAGGGTAATCGTTGGTAATTGTCCAAGACACAATTGGGAAATTTTGAAGCATTGCTACAGAATTAAATGCTCGGAAATGGGTGATATGGCTGTGCATGCATGCATGGAAACAGAGCTTTATGCAGTGTTGTATGGGTTTTGCTTGGTATTTCATTGTAAACTTAATAGCCCAATCGGTGATATTCTTTCTCCCATGTTAGGTGACCATTTTTAAACTAGTTACTATCTATACTTCTTATCAAAGAACTTTTAAAATACATGTAACAAAAATATGCCCAATTAACATAGGCCAGCACAAATGTTTGCAAAAATATCTACCACATTTTAAAATGATGTTTAAAATGGTTTACTAACACAGGGCACACTACAAATAAGACCAGTTCTTAAATTACCATTAAGACAGGGGGTTCAGTCCATTAAACTACAAAGTCAGTCTATATATCTGACTAGATCATATCATATATTAGTTTTATTTGAAAGCTATTTTCAAGTAATGGACACTATATTAATTTCACTGCTGAGTTTGCCCAGCAAATGACAAATTTTAGGAAAACTAATTAAAAGGTAAACAAACTAGATTTGAGAAGGTCTAGATGCCTTAAATTTGGGCTGACAGCCAGAGAAATGTCTATCGTGTTTAAGCTCAGTTGTAAGTAAATTAGTTCTCTCTGCCCAGGAGTTTTACTTGTACAACAGGACAGGATTCCAAGGTTGCATACCTAAAAGTGGCCAGAGAAGAGGAGGACCTGGCACAAACTTGTACACTGATTCTTGAATTTAGAAATTTAGTCAACTCAAGGCTGTTCTTTCTGAGACATCCACAGTGGAGAAATTGGAGGTACTACAGCTGTCTCTTACCTACAGTTCTGTAGAGTCAATAGTCTGCAACAATAAAGACTGCCTACTTGTTGCTGAGTTTTCTGTCCTAGCTTGTGAACATTAAGGTTTATAGAGTTCCTCGTACACAGAGGAAAGGTTGAGTGGTAAAACTGGAAACAGAACTCCTTGCATACATGTAAAATGCTCAGTTAAGCAAAGGAGGGCTGTAACAGGTTCAGCTGGGTACTGAGCTCCCCGTGACGTGGGGTGGCTCGGCAGCATCCTCCCATCAGTCTTCCCTCTCTTCAGGGCTCCCAGTTAAACTCCACAGGCCATTCTGGCAGGGATTTCTTTATTTTCCAAAAACAGTGAATCAAAATTACAATAAAATTAGGGAATTACCCTGCCTGCCTTCGTCTCTGCCCTCAGGAGTATCTTTTCCTGTCTCTGGCAATCCATGAAGTTCCTCCTTCTCTGCAGTTCCTGCTATTCTGTCATCTCCCCTAGCTGGAGCTCAGCCTTCTGGCTCTGGCTTCTAGGCCCTAAACCCTCTCTCAATCAGGTTCTCCTACAGGAGCCTTCTGCTTACTGCAGCTCTTCTCTGCCATAGATTCCTCTTCCTGTCCTCTGCTCTCCTCTTTATAGACAACAGCTGACCTCTATCAGGCCCCATTGAAAGGCAGTTAATGAGACTCAAGTGGACTGGACCAGTTCCCTCTTAAAGAGCCCAGTCTACCCTTTGACACGGGCCAAATGTTTTTCTGATTAACAGCGTATGGTAAGATATTTTTGCAGTCCATGGGACAGATGGTGGTGTTCACAGAGACACCTATAAAACTCCATTACTTCAGTGAGGTTTCACAGTGCACAATTTGGCACAAAATATAGCACCAAAAATTGTTAGATAAAAGGGGGTGCATACAAAAACTAACCAAATGAGCATCTTCTCACATTCATCAAGGTCCTGTTTGAAAGCCCACTGAAGTGACTGAGAGACTTTCCATGTACTTCAGTGGGCTTTGGATAAAGCCTCAAAAAAGGAGGATACTGAAAGAACATGTAGGATACAGCTACACAGCAATTAAACACCTGCAGCTGGCCTGGGTCAGCTGACTTGAAACTTGTGGGGCTCAAGCTGTAAAATTGCTGTGTGAACATTCAGGCTTGAGCTAGAGCCTGGCCTCTGGGATACCGTGGGGGGGGAGGGTCCCAGAGCCTGGGCTCTAGCCCGAGCCCGAACATCTATATAGCAAATTTTAGCTCCGCAGCCAGATCCCAAGTCAGCTGACCCAGGCCAGCCACAGCAGTACCACCGGTCTTTTATTCCAGTGTAGACATACCCTCAGTGGTAGTTTCCAGCTGTTGTATTCCTTTCTTGTTTGACAGTCTGTAAATAGGGACACTTGTCATTGAAGCTCAGCTTCCATATGCAAGTATCATCAGCGTGACGATGCACTGAGGAGGTTGAATACAATCAGTGCAGCAACTGTGTAGCATGGAAGATATATTTTACAGATAGATTGTTTGCTGTATAGGGAATCTTGTTTATTGTGGAATTCCACTTTTGAACAGTTCAGCTCCTCCGCTGAATAAAAGCAATTTTTCTTTATTTGAATGCACCCTTTTAATGCAAATATATACTTTATGGTATTGTCTTGCTTAGATAAACTCTAACATATTTCTTCCAGTAGTTCTCCTTTTTGACAAAACATATGATGTGCTATCTTCCAGTGTGACTTGTATATAGAAACTGGCATTGATGCTAGTATGCACCTAAACATGAGCATACTAGCAGAGGAAGAATCTCTAAATATATATTTTGCATCTTTTTTCCTCTGCAGAACTCAAAGCATTTTCACAGATTGGTAGAATGAGGCACAGAGTAATTACTTGACTTGCCCAAGATTACATAATAAGAAAATGACACAGACAGGAATAAAATCCAGGTCTTCCAATGTCCAATTCAGTGCTCTAAACAGTGGATCAATCTGTCTCCAGAGGCTCTGTTTGGTTCAAATACACACCTAGGTGTATACCTGAATCTAATCTGAGCTAATCTGCCCTCCAAAATAGAGCTGGCTGGGAAATGTTTTTTCCCTTCCCTCTGAAAAATTTCAACAAAATTGTTTTTTTCTTATTATTTGCAGAAGTTTTTCTTTGATTTTTTTTTATGAGGTAGGGAATCTAAAAATTAAAACTGAAAATGTTTGGTTTACTTGGAACAGCAACCCAAAAGATGTATGTGTGTTTTTTTATGAAAACACAAAACAATTGACCAAAAAATGACATTTCACGCAAACTTCTGTTTTGTCAAAAAGCCATTTTTCATCAAAAATATTTTGATTTTTTCCCCAGCTCTACTGTAAGCCAAGTCAGGAAGTTTTATAGAAACTATTTCTCTTGCAAGATTTCTGGGATTACATGCTTCTGGCTGGATTACAAACACTGAGAGAGGAACCTTTCTTGTAGAATTTTTGACACTTCTGCTTTCGGTTCCTGAATATGGAAGTGAAGAAAGGCACAAAAAGTTTTTAAAAGAATAAGCAAGCTTTTTTAACCTAAAAAATGGTTTAGCTTGGGGCTTAGTTTGAATTTTGGACAAATATTCATGTCATTTGTTTTAAACAGTATCAATTTGCCTGTCCCTAAAACAGATTCGAATATAAGTTAGGAATAAGTTAAAAAAACCAAACCAAAACATCTAAAAATACTCTGCAGAAAAAGAGACCAAATACTTTCAGCCACACACTCCTACTTCCTACCTTAAAGTATACAAGATTTTCCCATCATTCCATATTCTCAGAAGCTGATTGGGTGTAGTGATCCAATGAGCTTCTGCTGTTTTAGAATTTCGGAAGATAGTGTCTGGTATCCATATCAATCCAACCATATTGCTGTTTAGAGTCAGTATTTTCATGGTGCTGTTGAAACGAAGGCGGCTGTCTGTCCATGTCTGAGCAAAAAATATATCAATTTGGTATTCCTGTAATAAAAGCACAACATAAAAACTGAAGTTGGTTCCACGCATTCCACTTATATTTGGTCTTTGATAGGATATAGTTAAAGGGCTGTAGCCTCAGTCAGTGTAACGCGACATAGCTCTATTAAAATCAACGGATCTATGTTGATTTACACCAGCTAAAGAGCTGGTCTTTTAAAGTTTTTTTGTTTGTTTGTTTTCATTCTCAGAATTAGTTTACTTTAGGGGAAAAAAATAGAACATGATCTCCTGCATTGGCCTTTTGGCTTAGCATTCTCTGCCCCACCACACAGTCTTAACCATCCTTCTCTGTGTGAAGTCAGGGAAGTCACAACTGGACAATATATCTGCAGTGGCTTCCCTGCCTCAGTGTGAAAACAGAGGCTTTAAGGAGCTGCTATATGATGAAACAGCTGTTTGAGATTCAGGTAGCATTAGACAAATATGGCTAGTGATTAAATAAATCAGCTGAAGAATGACAAATTATGTGGAACATGGCAGCCACACACACACACACACATATTAATTGTTCTGTTGCATGTATAGCCTACAGCAGAAAGATGCCATGATCATAGATTCTAATTTATTTTTCTTTACAGATACCTCATGTATTTCAAATGCCAAGTGCCAGAACTCTCTTAAACTGCCATTAATATGCTAATCCAGATGCTACAATCTTATCTTTTCCATAGTTAAATTTTATTGCCATGTTTCTGTTAATAAGTAGTCATAATAAGGGTGATAAAATAGAAGTTACACACACACACACACAAGTATGAGCATGTGTATATATTATTACATACAAAAAAACTTTGTTAACAGATAGATATTTAAGTTTCAAAATCCAGTACTTAAAATACCAATTCCACATCTGCCAGTACAACCTTCATTCTGCATCCTGGTGCATCCAACCTATGCATTGAATGATGGGAGGATCTTGTGGGAAAAAATGTGATTATATAAAGACTTTATCATAATGCATAAGCATAAAGGGGCAGAATGAAGGGTTCCTGGTCAATATGGCAGTTCCTTGCTTGAGCCTTTGTCCAGCCTAATTTTCATTTAATGTAGGTTTTTTGCATGAAGGTTCCTTGGTGATTTTTTTTTTAAAGGAAAAAAGTACAAATCAATTCTATTATGCACCACTGTAACAACTTATCATGTATTATTAGCAGGTTTTGTGCCATGAATTTATCCTAGTATTCTAACTGTATTCTAGGAGCCATCTGGTTACCCTGCATTATTCCTATAATTACCATCTTTTGCAGGCCATCCTTCCAGAATTGATGTTATAACACTATTTATTGTTATTCATTGACACTATTAGCCGAGAAACACGCTCTGGGACTCTCACCTTTCCATGATGAATGATCGATGGATATGTAAGAATTCTTAGCATGTATAGGAATAGCAGGTAATATATCACCTTATGACTTGCAGCATAGCTACTAACAGTCCCTAGAACCTTTCCCTTTAGCCTTTCTAGCTGTGATTTTTCTTTTTAATTAGCTTTATTTTGACAAGAGATTTGACACTGAAGGGGACTTATTTTCATCTTGGTGTGCAGGGAATTGCGCATCTCTGTACATTGAGACAAGGAAGTATATCAAAGTATCTAGCTCATACTGATTGTTATTTCTATTTTTAAATACATGGGAAGTGCTCAGAAATTACAGGGATGAGGGAAATGGTCATAAAACTACCCACCTATATATATTTATAAATGTTCAAAAATTATTGTTTCCTCACTTTGCCATTATTGCAGAGAGTGGATTATTCACATTATGTTCTACTATTTGCCCCATCTCTGCCAGCTCCTCATTGCAACACCCTGGAGAAGAGAGGCTTGTATGTATTTACCTGATACAGAAGGGAATAGGCCAGACATGGCCACATGTATAGCAGTTTTCTCTAACTGCTGAGCTAGTGGAACTGTTCCTTTAGCTTGCAAGCGGAGACCAGTATTTATGGAGCCAAAGGCTATGATGCCACATATATACAGCTGGCTAATGAGCGTGGTGTATTTATAAACAACAATGGATTGAAGCAAGATGTTCATATTTGAAATTATTTGATAGGAAAAGAATGCTTATTTTGATTGCCAAATTATTTCTAAATTTAGGAGCAGCTGTAATTCTCTTTTGGGATATTGTACACACTTAGGATTTTGCTTATGCAAAAGGAAAGACAGCCCTGAACTGTTTAATTAATGTCCACCATACTTTTCTTCCCCATACTCTCCACAACACACACATTCCTTCTTTTTAAGTATTCCAGGAGGTAAGGTAGTCCAGTTGGCGTTTCCTGTTAAGTACTACATTTAGAACTGCCCCTAGAGGTTATTCAAAATACAACTGGTAAAGCATAAGACCGGGATGGGCAGATGCAACTCCATTTACTTGAATGAGTTGTTTAAACCAGGGCTGAATTTAAGCCTGTGTGCATATATAACTGCATTGGATCCTCTAGTAATAAAACATGGCCTATTGTTTTAAATGTGTCTCTCTGTCCTATGCTCAGCGTGAAATGATTTATTTAAGCAGTATCACACAACAACTCAGTAAACAGCATTTCCCCCCCCCCCCCACATATTTCCTAACAATTTAGCTCTGTTTAAAAGTAACACATTACAGATGCAATAATAAGGGATAAACAGATATTTACATCTGATATCTGAACTGTAATTTCCCCTTTTTCTTCATCCATTAATCCCTTTAAAAAAGGATGCTAGATCAGTTCAGCCTTCACATTAATCATTGTAATTACCTCAGCCTTCATCCAAATGGTGAATGGGGTTGCTATTTAGGTATTCCATTTTTGAGCTAGAGAAAGAGAGGTCAACTTTGAAAGCTGGGTGTATAAAATTAGGCTCCTTTGCCCAGATCCTCAAAAGGTATTTACTTGCCTAATTCTCGTTGATTTCAATGGGAGTCAGGCACCTAAGTGCCTTTGACAATCTGGGCCCTAAATTTTAATATATAGGCACTTAAACATAAGTGGCTTGATTTTCATAGGTGCTGAGTGTGTCTCTCCCAGCAGTCAATAGACAACATTCATTGCAGTGTGGAGGAAGGGTGCAACGGCCTCTGAATCATTTAAACCCTACATAGGGACTGTGCAAGGAATCTGCTGAGTGTGCACTCACAGGTGATACTTGCCTATCCATTCCATGCCACAGGAAGGGTCTCCATGCTAGCTTCATGTAGGAGTAAGTATTTGGGCCATAATGTATGAAAAGACAAGGATCACTTTCAATTAACTGGTTTTACCTTTTAGAGGAATACGTAGGCCAATTGTTTTATAGAGGTAATACTAGCATTTATGGTATTTAGGCAAGAAATAATCTTTATCTTAAGTTCTATGTAAAATCTTCTGCCTAGAAAATCTTAATGGAAACAGGTTTCTTTACTAACACCAAGGAATACTTGATGAATGAAGAATTAGAAAGCAGAGAAACCAATCTCACCAATTATGGCTAGAGACACATCAATTTTCTAAACACATTTCTGAGATGTTACCGATGCAAAAAAATCATCATCTTCTTGCCTGTTCACAGATATACATAAACTTAGACATTATATACAGTAGCCCTGCTCCTGATTACTTATTTATGAATTACGGAAGTAGTTTGTACCCCTGGGTGTTAGGGGCCTGTGGGGCTAGAGAATGGGAGGAGGGTCTTGAATTCTTCTCTCTGGCACTGATAGGATAGAGACGCAGGCCCAGATCCTCAATGGTATTTATGCTTCTAACTTACATTGAAATCAAGGGAAGTTAGGAGCCTAAATATCTTTGAGAATCATCATAGATATCACTGTAGTAGGTTGATTAATGTGCCTTTCCACCTAGCTGCAATAGGACCATGACGATAAAGGGAGGGGAGATATGGTGATTGTAGAAAGAGTAGATATATGTCTGGTGTGGGGAGGGAGAGTGAGGGATTGACACCATAGAGTATTAGATGCTCTAATGTGTGAGACAGGGAATTATTGTGAAGTATTTTGTGGGTAGGTGGATTGGAAAAAGGAATTGCACATATTTAACTTATTTACAAATCAGACCAAACATCTGTTTTTCTTCTCATTCTCAAAGGAGACATGGAGAGGAACTCTGAAAAATACTGCATGTTATTGAATGCCCTTGCTCCTCACTCGGGCAAATCCAAGACCACCAATCGTCCATTTGCAATACTTGGTTTCACTCATAAATTGCATGGAAGCATCTAGAAAGACAATATGTGATCTATCTTGTCAAACACAGAGAAAAAAAAGTGTAACAGTTTTAAGCAAAACACTAAAAATGTCCAACAAGACAGCTGTTACAGCTAGTCACTCCTGAGGGTCCCTTTTTGAGTATCCAGTGCAGTAGCTGTCTGTCTGAGGTACTTATATTGCCCCCATCACTGTAGTATCTGAGCGCCTCACAAGCTTTAGTGTATTTCTACTAACAACATCCCTGTGGGGTTGGGAAGTGCTATGTGAATGGGCCTAAAGGGGTTAATGAGAGCTAGTGGGCACAATCAGCATTGCACCACTACACATGCACTAGGCGTCAAACCTGGTGGGAGGAGCTAAAAGGGCTGAACCCGGCATCCAAGCCTAATTAGGAAGGAGAGCAGATCTCTGGCACTCACTCAGTGAGAGGAGCCTGGTGGGAGTCAGGGAACTGAGTGGGCTACTGGCAAGTAGAGGCTCCCTGAAGGAAGGTAGGTCTAGAACAGGGATCCCAAGGCAGTTGGGAAGGAGCAGCAGGAAGTGAGTTTGACCAGGACTCTGCTAGGAGGGGCCTGCAGGGAGCACGGAATCTCCTGCTGAGTCAGGGTCTGCCCTGCAAGGGGAGTGGAGAAAACTCTCCCCAGGCGGAACCAACTGGTTAGCAGGAACTGCAGCTATGCAATGAGTGAGTGGAAGAGGCTGAGAAAGAATGGGGCTGATACCCTAGGAGTGCAGGAAGAGGCTGAGGCAAAATCCCAAGAAAGGCAAGATAGGACGTGGTCCAGGGAG